GGTTTTCATGGAGACGTAATTCATGTAGACGTAATTCATGTACAAATTTTAAGTGTCAAGTTTGAGTTGTCACAAATTAATACAATTGTATATCCACCTTCCATCATCAGCCCTGTTGTCTTTTTCCACTGTTCTGATTTCTGTTACTATATTTGTTTTACTTGTTATAGGATTTCACATAAAAAAAAATTCATATAGTATGCACTCTTTCATAATTGGTTTCTAATGCCTAACATAATGTTTTTGAGAGTAAACCATGTTGTGTGTACCTGTAGATTTAGTTTTAACTTTTATGTTTAGGTTTCTGATCATCTTGAATTTATTTTTGCATTAAGTGAAACATGAAAGTTGAAGTTCAACGTTTTCTGAGAACTCTTTCCAGTTATTCTAGAACAATTTGTTGAAAAGATTTTTTTTTCTTATAAAATCACCTTAATGCCTTTGTAGAAATCAATTGACTATATATGTGTGGGTCTATTTCTAGATGCTCTATTTTGTTGAATTCCTCTATCTTTATTCCATCAATTCCACACAGTTGTTTTTTTTTAAGGACTTGGGCCCCCCCCACAAGCGGCGCCAGGGAGTGGGTCTTCCTCACAGTTTTGATTCTGTACCTTATAAATCTTTAAATCAGTTGGTGTGAATCAATTTTGTTATATTTTTAAAAAATAATTAAAGCTATTCTATACACTTTGCACTTCCATATAAATTTTTAAAAATCAGTTGTCACCGTCAAAAATAAATAACGTGGTATTTTGATTAGGATTGCAGTGAATTATAGCTCAGTTGGAAGCTCAGTTGTCATCTTGTCAGTCCCTGAAGTTGATATGTATGTGCATTTACTTAGGTGTTAATTTCCCTGGTATTTTATAGTTTTGAGTATAGAAATCATGATCATTTTCTAAATTTATATTACTAAAACTTTTATGTTTTATTATGCATAGTAAGTGATATTGTTTCTTTTTTACTTTATTTTCCAACATTTTACTGCTAGAATATGAAAATAATTTAAATTTTCTGTATTGACTTTGTATTTAAGGAAACTATATACTCCTCCAAATCTAGTTAACTATAGGACTTTTCATGATATACTTATCAAAAATGTATGAAATTAATATCCTATATAGCACAATCTAAAAAATGTTGCTTTACTTCTAAGATAAATTTAGCTCAATAAAAAACTCTACATTTGCCTAGCCGGTGTGGCTCAGTGGATTGAGCATCACCCCATAGACTGAGACAGCTGGTTCAATTCCTGGTCAGGGCACATGCCCAGGTGGCAGGCTCGGTAGGGGGCGTGCAGGAGGCAGCTAATGGATGTTTCTCACAAAGATGTGTCTATCTCTGTCTTCCTTCCTCCCTCTCTAAAAAAAAAAATCAAGCCCTGGCCAGTTTGGCTCAGCGGTTAGAGCGTCAGCCTGCGGTCCGGAGAGACCCGGGTTCGGTTCCCGCTAAGGGCACGTACTTCAGTTGCAGTTTGTCCCCGGCCCTGGTTGGTCGTGCGGGTGCAGCCACTCGATGTGTCCCTTCACGTCGATGTTTCTCTCTCTCTCTCCCTTCCTCTCTCTCCCTCCCACTCTATCTGTACAAAAAATGGAAAATATCCTCGGGTGAGGATAAAAAAAATAAAAAATAAAAAATAAAAAAAAAATCAATAAAAACATTTAAAAAGCACTGCTGCTAAAAAAGAAAGAAAGAAAGAAAGAAATTTACATTTATAATTAGTGATTTTCTCAAACTAAGTATCCCATCGATTAAAACTATATACTTTAGATAATAATTCCACTGTGTATTTTTTATTGAATGAGGTAACATTGGTTCACAAAACCATACAGTTTTCAAGTGTACAACTCAACAAAACATCAACTGCCCAATTCATCTTGCACCCATTGCCCAAAGCAAAGTCTCTTTCCATCCCCCTTTACCTATCCTTTGCCCACTTCTACCTACTCTTACCCTTCTTTTCCTCTGGCTATCCCCACACTGTTGTCTATGTCTATGTGTTTATTTATATATAGATAGATATGGATATAGATATAGATATAGATATATAGATATAGATATATAGATATATAGATATTTTTTTGCCTAGTCCCTTCATCTTCTTTCATCCAACCCACCAACCCTCCTCCCCTCTGACAGCTGTCAGTCTGTTCTATATATCTATGCCTCTATTCCTATTTTGTCAGTTTATTTTGTTCATTAGATCCCACATATAAGTGAGATTATATGCTATTTGTCTTTCTCTGATTAATTTCATTTAGCATAATAATCTCCAGGTTCATCCATGATGTCACAAAGGTAAGATTACCTTTTTTTAAAACAGCCAAGTAGAGTATTCCATTGTATAAATGTACAACAGCTTTTATCCTCTCATCTGCTAATGGGCACTTGGGCTGTTCCCAGATCTTGGTTATTGTAAATGATGCTGCAGTGGATAAAAGGGGTACATATATTCTCTCAGATTGGTGTTTCAGGTTTCCCAGAAGTGGGATCTCTGGGTGAAAAGGCAGTTCCTTTTTTAATTTTTTGAGGAACCTCCATACTGTTTTCCACAGTGGCTGCACCAACCCGCATTCCAACCAACAGTATGCAAGCTTTTCCTTTTCTCCACATCCTTGCCAAGATTCGTTGTTTATTGATTTATTGATGATAGCCATTCTGACAGGCATGAGGTTATATATAATATGGTTTTAATTTGCATTTCTCTGATCCTTAGTGAGTTTGGGTATCTTTTCATATGTCTATTGGCCATCTGTATGCCCTCTCTGTTGAAGTATCTATTCAGGTCCTTTGCCCATTTTTTAATTGGCTTGTTTGTCTTAGTGTTGAAACCAAAGCTATGCATTATGATAAACACTACAAATATATAAAAACTCTATTTTTGTTTTTCTGGAAAGGAAACAATATGGAAAAGCTGATAGGTATGTTACAACAGTAGTTCTCAACCTATTTCCTTCCACTGTAACAAAAATAAGGAATGATGTTCAAGGTATGAACTATCTTCTCCTTTCTCTGCCCAGGGAGCATGCTTGAATGAAAATGAGACTAATGAGTATCACTATTATTGTGACTGATTATTTTATTACAGTAAATCTTTTCCAAACTTTGGAACTATTATTAACAATTTATAATGTACAAGGCATTTCATAAGTGATTAAAAATAACTGTGATTGCCCGGGTGGTGTGGCTCAATGGTTGAGCATCAACCCATGCACTAAGAGATTATTGGTTTGACTCCTCATCAGGACACATGCCCAGGTTGTGGGATAAATCCCCAGTGGGGGGCATGCAGAAAGCGGCCAATCGATGTTCTCTCTCATTGATGTTTCTCTCTCTCTCTCCCTCCCCCTCTCTCTCTGTAAAATCAATAAAGAAAAAACAAACTATGATTGCCAATATTTCAAGTAGAGTTTGTCTAACTGTGCTTTAACATCCCCTAAAAATCTGATACTGTATAATTCCATAGGCAATTAATAAACAAGCACCCAAATTTAAACCATGTGGCCACAAATATTGAGTATCTTTATCTTATACACTTACTAAGATAGAAAAATGTCCTAAGTAATAAACTGTTATAATAAATGACCATTGACTGCTTAGATTAAACAACAAGTGTTTACTTCTCACAGTTCTCTAGGTTGGAAAGTCCAAGATCAAAATGTAGGCAGGCCTGGTGTTTGGTGTGAGCTTGCTTCCTGTTTTGCAGGTTGCTGTCTTCTAGTATCCTCACATAACAGGTTAAGGGCACTAATCCAATTTATAAGGGCTGCATCCTCATGACTTAATTATCTCCCGAAGGCTTCTCACCACCTAATACTATCAGAGTTGGGGTTAGGATTTTAACATATGGACTTAGTGTAGACATACATTCAGTCAATAACATACACAGATAATCTATTGTTTGGGTCTATCCGACATGTGTCCACCATGCTGTTGGGAATGGTGCCATAATTTTCTTTTGGGAATGCACCGAATCCTTACACTCATTCATGTACTCTGGGTAAGCTGACCTGGATCCAGAGGTGGGTATCTTAACTAGGCCTGGTGAACAGTATAAACATCCACACTGAACACAATTGAATCAGAAAATAAAGATATGTTTTACCAATAAGCTTTATGAGGGTGAGAAGCAGGACTTTGGTAAAAATACTGAGATAGAGACACTCTCATTCCACTGAGTTTACAAACTAATAAAATATAAACATTGAGCAGGAGAAGGTTATGTTTGATACTATTTAGAAAACTGCATGAGAACAAAGAAATGAGTTAATAACTATGCATGGTACCAAGGGGGTATTTGAAGTATCGAGGGTCAGTGGGGGGGACTCCATAATGTATATGATTGTCTACGCACTATGCTGTACACCTGAAGCTAAAACACAATATTAAATGCAATTGAAAATAAAATTTGAATAATATAAAATGTTAGATGAGAAAAAAAGTAAAGAAACAAGTTGTTGGTTATGGGCAGGGTGAAGAAGAGACAGACAAGAGAGAGAAAAAACCAACCACCCTTTAGCATGGGTTCAGCACAGCCTAAAGCCTTGGATTTTCAATTATGTTATTAAATCAACTTGTGGTGTGTTTCAGACATTTGCAATTAAAAATTCCCGACGAGTCAATCAATTCAAATTAATTCAACTGGTTTAAAAAGCCATCTTGCCTCTATCTCCCTCCAGTAAATTTAGTAAAAACTGACAAAAATGCTGCACTTTTAAAAGCTTTGAAATAATAATAAAATTTTCAGGAAGTATAATACTGAAATCTATATTCTAACATAAAGCTACATAAATATTTACACATATTTATTAATAGATATGTTCAGAAACCAAAAAATAATCACTATTTGTAAAATATTAAGGTAATTAGTGGAAAATTCTAAGATGAAATAAAAATGGACATGTCTATGTTATACAACAAACTATGGCAAGTGTATGTTTATTTCACAGGTCATTGAAAATTATCAATATAGGGCCTTCGAGCGACAGCGACGCAAGATGGCAGCCACCCTGGGCTCGGGAGTAAAAGTCCCTCGCAATTTTCGACTGTTGGAAGAACTCGAAGAAGGCCAGGAAGATGTAGGAGATGGCACAGTTAGCTGGGGTCTAGAAGATGATGAAGACATGACACTTACAAGATGGACAGGGATGATAACTGGGCCTCCAAGAACAATTTATGAAAACTGAATATACAGTCTTAAAATAGAATGTGGACCTAAATACCCAAAAGCACCCCCCTTTGTAAGATTTGTAACAAAAATGAATATGAATGGAGTTAATAGTTCTAATAGAATGGTGGACCCAAGAGCCATATCAGTGCTAGAAAAATGGCAGAATTCATATAGCATCAAAGTTGTCCTGCAGGAGCTTCGGCGCCTAATGGTGTCTAAAGAAAATATGGAACTTCCTCAGCCACCTGAAGGACAGTGTTACAGCAATTAATCCAAAAGAAAACCACAGGCCACCCCACCCCTCCCCCATTCGATTTAAGCAGTCTTCATTTTCCACAGTAGTAAATTTTCTAGATACGTCTTGTAGACCTCAAAGCACTGGAAAGGAAGCGCCCATTCAAAGGTAATTTATCTTAAGGTACTGTAAATGATACTAATTTTTTGTCCATTTGAAATACATAAGTTGTGCTATAACAAAAATAACAATTATCAATATAGTTAGCAAAGTTACAATTTTATAATTTTCAAACAATATACAGTCTACATTTCCCTTTTAAAAATAAATGTTTTAAGAAATTTGGTATTTTGGAGTAAAATCTTTACATTTCCCATCTAAACTATCATAAGCATTAGAAAAAATATGGAATTTAATATCCAAATAATATAAATCAATTAAAACTCTCACTGAGAAGGCTAGTACTCAGCAGTAATTTAGTCACGATACGTTAAGACAAACGGATACCTAATGAGACGATCACACAATTCTAAAATTTCCATTTCACATTTAAAGTTAAATTAAAGATCATGAGAGAAAAATTCCATTCTTTCCTAAATCTTGCTAAGGTCTGGGAATCTATAACAGTTGGTACAAATTTAGTCACTTCTGTAACTACACTGAAACTTTAAAAATCAGAGCTTGGTAAGTGTTTTGGATTTTACTGTTTTTCTCTACTGCACCTTTTAGTTGGTGCAGAAACGCACTGTCCACAGGGGCCTAGGGGAGCGAGCTCTCTGCTTCCTCCTTCCTGAAGCTCCCCAGGGAGCACTGGCTGAGAAGCTCCGCAGTCGGGGTACAGGCTTCCACAGACCCAGCCACACTGGCAGCAGATGGCAAAATAACTATTTCCTACTACTTATTTTCATGAATTTACCACAAGGGTTACATCTGCTAGCCCCTGGGATACACATATCTGTGAAAATAAAATCCAAAATCCAAAAGTCAACACATTTTAACACCTGATGAATCTGATCTGATCGCCTTCCTTCAGTGAAACCTGTCTCGCTGAGGGCAAAGGTCAGATCTCAGCCATCAAGTGACTGCTTCCCGATGCCTGGCAAAGGGCCAAAAGAACAAACCGAAACCTGTGTCTTTCCAAGGCCTTAAGCCAATCAGCAAAAATTCTAGGAAAGATCAGAAACACTCAATTGTGATTTACTTGAGAAAGTACATTTGGGAAGAAAATCTGAGTTCTGAAGACGTTGCCAGCAAAGCCTTTTGTTCTTTTAGTTTATGGGGGGGAGGGGGTCGGAAAAAAAGGAAATCACAAAATAGAAGACACAACTCGAGAAAATACAAATAAGGCTTTCTGAAATCATAGTGGCTGGTTCATTTACTGAAAATTATTCAGCTCCTCCCCAGCTGTGTTTATCTAGTTCTTCAACTGGTAGTTTTTAGGCTGAAAGCAGTGTCTTCATTATTGAATTGCTATCAGGGCTCAGAGATGTGTCACTGCATGTTTCAATCTTTGCTCTATGATTAGCATATTTTGAGAAAATTATACAGCATCTTCATCGAAAAAAGTAGATCATGCCTATTCTCTTCATGAGCTAGAACTGAGAATTCAGTAACTGAATTTTTTGCATCTTCTTATCTAGGTTTTCAGCCTGTTTCTTCTCATGAGGGTCAGAAAAGCAATCTGTGTGAATGCTGGGCTTTCTTCAATTAAAAAGACAAAGAGAGACCACCCTCCCTGAAGAGCCTAAATCCTTTAATTGCATCCAAACATCTTAAATATGAAGTCAGAAGTTTAATAGGGTTAAAAGGATTAAGATGATGAAGAATATGGCACAATCCTGTTACACTCTAGTATACATATTTAGCAAAAATTATTATTCCTATTAAAAATTCAAAACTAAATAGATAGAATCAGACACAAAGACATCTACCTGGTGGACAAGCAGGAAATGACCTGACCTTCACTAGAAAGAAATTAGAAATATAAAGTATAATACAGATGCATTAGATTATTATAAATGCATATAGCCGTACATTAAAAAATAATTATATATGCTTGGCATATGGTAGTTGGTACCTTTTCTCAGCAGCATATCCTCAAAACACTGTTTTTTTCATCTTACTTTAGGTAAAAACAGCGCATAAGTTTGGCTCAAACCTACAAACTGAGTGTAAGGACATAGCAGTAAGTGACATATAGATTAGTTTAATGGTTCCCATTTTAATGCACTTCACATTACGCTCATTTTAGCTTGAAAGTCTATAAACAAAAATTAAACTTCCCTTCTTTCAGTACGCCCACCAAAAAATCTTTGTGGCAAACCATTTTTTAAAAAGTAAATAAAGCATATCCTATGGTAAATAATTTCTTGTGTTCTTGAAACACCTTTCAAAAAAATCTGTCCATGGAGAAGATCTGCAGCCTAGTTATAAAATTTATTATGATTTAGGAGCAAAGAGGCCATGCATACAGGTTGAGAATCACATTTTTTTAAAGGAAATAGAGTAAAAATGAAAAAGGTTAAAATATGTAAGTTAAGGTGAAAAATGTGGTAAATTATACATGGTACTCTTTAAACACTATTTCCTTATAGTCTTCCTGACACCGGATTTCAGCATAATATGTTGATTAAAAATATACAAAATATAAACAATGACCAGCGCATAATAATAATCATGAATAGTGTCTTTGTGAAACATCTGTGTGTTTTCTGTCCATTAAAATCCAGACTCTAAAAGAGTTACTGTAGATATGTTTGTTATTAAACCAATTCATTTCCTAACAGCATTAGTATATAATTGCCATTATGCATTCAGTAAGAGGAAGTTGAAGCTTAATTAAAATATATTTCTTTACCAACTGTCAAAAGTGAGTAATGAGATGAATTGAAACTAATAAACCTCACCATTTTCCAAACACAAATCTATATGCCAAACATTACTCATATCTCCCTTATTCTCAGAGGAGACCATCCCTCTGTATTTCCATTGTGATCATAATCAGAAATGCTGATAGAATTTCAGTGACAATAAACACATGTTCTAATTTGACAAACAATTATCTTTTCTAAATATTGATGCTTTGGAGCAGAAAATAAGAAATTTACATACAACCAACCCTCATTTCTGGAAAACAGTCCTTAGTCCATGAGTTTGAAAATGTTATCCTTAGAGGGGTCAATGGGGGGAAAAGGGGAAGGACATCTATAATACTTTCAATAATAAAGATGAATTTTTAAAAATTAAAGCACATAAATTACATGGAACACCTAGCAGTCAATAGGCCACGAATATTTCAAAGTATTCAGACTTATTGCCATTGACATAGGTTGTCAAATCTTAAAAGTTATTTTGGCTTCCCATTTCTCCCAACTAGTTTCACCTTCTCGCCCTGCTTAAGGTTTTCTAGTCTCTCGCATGCACATTACGTTCTCTGCTTGACTCTGCTAAACACTGCAATTTTCGTTCTTTGTACAGCTGCTTCTGCAGTTTGGATAATTAGTGTCCATAAAATAAAAATAAACAGTAAAGTTATCTCCCTCTCTCTAATGTTATTTAAGGAAAGTCTGCATAAAATTGCTGTGAGCAGGATATATACAACCCTTTATTTCAAAGGGCTGAAATCATGCCATATACATTAAAAAACTCTCAATTTCCAGGGATTAATTATTCAATTTGTTTTTCCAGCTTATTTGTCATGCTTATTTTTTCCAATTTTATTAGTCAAAATCTCAGAAATTAAATTAAATCCGATTTTCAGCTTTTTAATGTCATTGATGATACAGCAGGAGTTTTACTGGGGGGACAGTATTACTTGTCATGAAGTTTCTCAGTATTTTCTACAAGTGCACAAACATGTCTTCCCTGATTATCAACAGGATTCCAATGATCAGATTCATTGCCTTCATTTTATCTCTAATTCTCTTTACTACTACTGTAACTCTGTTTCTTTTTTTTTTCCTTCTATTTTTTGTTTAGATAGAGTGGGAGGGAGAGAGAGGAAAAGAGAGAGAGAGAGAAACATTGATGTGAAAGGGACACATCGAGCGCCTGCCTCCCGCACGACCCCACCAGGGCCGGGGACAAACTGCAACCAAGATACATGCCCTTAGCAGGAACCAAACCTGGGTCTCTCTGGACCACAGGTCGATGCTCTAACCACTGAGCCAAATCAGCCAGGGCACCACAACTCTGTTTCTTGGAAACTCTTTCCCAAGTCTCTGAGAAAACATTTCTGGGTTATATGCTCTTAATGTAATGGGTCACAACTTTCTCAAATGCAACACCACCGTGTTATAGCAATGATTTTGTAACAGTAGCTTCACTGACCTAAATTGAAATAATATAGCCTATCTATAAATATGCCCCAATGCATCTGATATGTATCTGACCTGAATCAATCTCTTTAAGAACTGTACAGATAACATAAAAATAAGTTTCTATGTCTGTGGCTCTCCACCTCCCTGCTAAACCTGTTCCAACTGTTACTACTCTATTACTCTGTCAAGAGAAAAAATACATGTATGTGTGTACATGTGTATATGTATGTGCACATATGTAATCATATACATTATATATATATGGAATGTGTGTATATGGTTTATTTTATATTTAAACATTTCTAGCCCTATTTTGGTTATAAACCCGTTAATTTGCATGAAGTGGGTACAAATAAATATAATTCTTAGTCTGCAATATTAGCACTCTAGTATGATTGTGGTAGGCAGCATCTAACATGGCTCCCAGTGATCACCACCTCCTGGTATCCATGCCGATGTAAACACCTCCCTTGAGTGTGGGTGGAATCTAGTAATCTGCTTCAGATGAACAGAACACAATAGAGGTGGTGGGGTGTTACTTGGTCACTGTTACAGAAGACTGTGATCTCCATCTTAGTCTCTCTCTAGTTGGCACTGACATTGTGAGATGCTCAATAGACAGACGCCCCCCTCCCCCCCCCATGGCAAGGGTTATAGGCAGGTCTCCATCTATGAGCTTGTGGAGAACTGAGGCCTCCTGAAACAGCCCAGAGGAAC